CCGCCGTAACAATCACAAACTTAGGGGTTTTTTGTGGGGCACCCTGTAGTAAGCCGTCCACGAAGCGACATACGTGCGTCCGAATTTTGGCCTTTTGTTTGGTACTGCATAATGTTCAATAGTAGTATCCAGGACAGAAAACGATGGGAATTTCCAAGATGTACACGATAATAGAGCACGCTGAAAAGTGGACGAAATATTGTCACTTGAGCAGTGTTGTGAAGAAGGGTGTCGTTCTCTCTGTTGTTTTTTTAACTCATTATTTTAATGTGAAATCGCCTCTTGTTAGCTATCGTTTTTGTTGTTGTTATTTTTGCACTCTCAGTTTCCACTGAACCAACTTCAATCAATCAATACCCTTTTCATTTAAAGCCTTTTGTTTGCTTTTCTCTAATAGTTTTTCTGAACGTTCTGTTCACACCGTTAACGTGAAGTTCGTGCCATTTAGCTTTCAAAACGAACCGAACTCCATCTTTTTCGACTTTATTACAATGAAGTTGATACTAAGCACATTCGGGAAGAGCTTAAGCTTCGAGAGGAGCAAATTGAAAAGGAGAACTCGCACAGGCAAAATCTCGAGGAGGAGATCAGGGAGAAGAGGCGTGAGCTAGGCAAATTACACCGGGACCAAGCTGGTATAGAGCAAGATATTAAAAAATGCGTGAGTTTCTGAGCTTATTTCGTTTTCCTTTTATTTCGTCTCTTGTCCACCTATCAAGGCACAAGCTTGTAGTTTGTCTCTATCTTTAGCAGTGTCTTCGGAAGTACTGTTTTTTATATTTACTTCAGTACTTCTCGAAGGACACGCCTTACAACCATGCCGTACCGTTTTAGGAGCAAAAAATATCCAAAAAGAAGCCTGAATATATCAAGGTTTCGCAGCTGCTAAGACACGTAAACGACAAGCACAAAGAGTCCAAGTAAGTTTCCGTAGCTTCGTCTAAATCTCTTCCCAAGAAAATCTTTGGAAAACGCCAGACAACTGCATAGTAGCCACCGTCAAGAAATGGACCAACTGAGTGCAGAGTATGCTCGAATCCTTGAACTTAAGGAGGAGTACGAGAGGCAGCAAAACAAGAAAAGTCAGGAGCAAGGTCGCTCGCTTGAATTAGAAGATTCTCAGGTACGTTTTCTGGCTCAATGTAAATTTTCTCATGAGTAAATAGGAATTCTTGGCTTGACTACCTTTCCTTCAGTGCAATTTTATCCTGTTCGTTATTTCAACTGTGTTTTCAAATCATAGTTGGCGGAATATCACAGACTAAAACAGAAGGTCGCTGAGCATACATCACACCTCTCTGCACAGCTCGATAGCCTTAGTAGGGAGTATGACGAACAAAAGGACCTCTCTGACGGTTTGGAGCGGCGGAAAGAGGAGATTGAGAACTCACTACGTCTCAAACAAACAGAGATGAATGACAATCAGAAACGTTTACAGAAACTTACCGAGTTTATAGAGTAAGTTTTTTGCTTTTCGATGTTTTCTTCTGATTAGCGTTTTGTTGATGCAATTAATATATTTATTGGAACATACCATTTCCGTCTCTGTCTTAATGAAGCGGTTCGGCTGACATTCTTTGCTCTCCATTAGTTTGAGCTAGTTAATAGTTTTATCAGATGAACGGATTCTATTTGTAGTTTTCATCAGTGCTCTCAGAGTTTCACTATTTATTGCTATCTATATTTTCGCCGTTGCAGATGATACACATTTATAATAAAATTTATCGTCAACTCCTTTTTAAGGTACATCTTGAGCGTTGCTCCACAGCCATAAACTGCGTTCAGTAGCATACTAATTTCTCCTCCGAGCCCGAAAGGGAAAAATGGGGGAAAGTAGCTATGCCAACTTTGGACGCAGGGCTCGCAATTGGGTGCCTGTTATTGCTGTCAGTAATTTTGTGCGTATTTATAGTCGCCGGCTAAACTTGGGCGTGCAGCTTCGACCCCTTTTTCCCATACCGTACTTGCGCAGCGTTTGTTACACTTATGCTCTGATCGACCTTTATGGTGCCGAAGATTGTATTTATACACGCGCGGCCACCCCTGGCAACGACTCCGAAGGTTTTTAGATTTCAGTCTTCTGCAGCAATGAAGACAGAATGCTAAGAGTTAAAGAACCACGTACATTTCATGGCAGTCTGCTTAGCTGGGTTTTAAGCTTACTTTCCCCTCACCGTCT